TTGGTCCGGGAGACATCTCCCGTCATTCCATTTGGTCACCACTTGGTCCGGGAGACATCTCCCGTCACGCAGGGTGCAGTTGCGCCTCCACAGATCTCCAGTATCATCTTTTGATACTGGTAATGGCTCGAAAGGGCCACCACTTACGGGCTATTCATGCCCGTGCCACCTCTTGGGTGGCTTAATCTTCATCAATCATCAATCAATCAATCTGGAACTGGAAGGCTGGCAGGTGACACTGGAAGACAGAAGAGTTAGGGGAGATATGATCACTACCTACAAGATTCTCAGAGGAATTGATAGGGTAAATAAAGATAAACTGTTTAACACTGGTGGTACGCGAACAAGGGGACACAGGTGGAAAGTGAGTACCCAAATAAGCCAGAGTGACGTTAGAAAGAACTTTTTCAGTGTCAGAATAGTTAACAGGTGGAATGCATTAGGCAGTGATGTGGTGGAAGCTGACTCCATACACAGTTTCAAATGTAGATATGACAGAGTCCAGTAGGCTCAGGAATCTGTACGCGAGTTGATTGAGAGTTGAGAGGCGGGACCGAAGAGCCAGAGCTCAACCCCCGCAACCACAACAGTTACACACTGTTGCCAATGGGCAATCCATTACGGTCAGGCTATCTCATTTAAAGTCACCCTTTGACGTTTTGGCCTGACAGTATGGCCGGCCTCTGATCAGTAACACTACATAACAAATATATATTTCTTGTCCCCTGGGTGATAAGTTTTATTTGTCTACTTATGCGCAGTACGCAATGTTATACAACCGTTCGCACTAACGAGTGAGTGAGGAGGATAGTCGTGGATATAAACTGGAGTGGAGCTTACACTCTTAGTGTAGAGTGGAGCTTGCACTCTAGTGTAGAGTGGAGCTTGCACTCTAGTGTAGAGTGGAGCTTGCACTCTAGTGTAGAGTGGAGCTTGCACTCTAGTGTAGAGTGGAGCTTGCACTCTAGTGTAGAGTGGAGCTTGCACTCTAGTATAGAGTGGAGCTTGCACTCTAGTGTAGAGTGGAGCTTGCACTCTAGTGTAGAGTGGAGCTTGCAATTCTGTTGGTTTATGTTTTCCATCAAGTGTGAGGATCTATAATTGGCCGCATCATCCTTGCAGTAGTCCCTTGGGCGTAGCACGTGCTCCTGGTTGGCAAGTTTGGCAGCCGCGGCTGTCATCTCCCCGTGCTGGCGTCTGGCCCTTTGCAGACACCCACCTCCTCTTCCCTTTTCACCCCCTTTTCACGCGCCCCTTTCCATATACACCCCTTCCCCTGCTCGCCCCCTTTCTCCACTAGGCCTGAGCCCTCCGTGTCACTTCTAAGCTCTTGAGTTTTTTTCTTAATTATTTCTCTCCTCTGCACCTCCTCCTCCTCCTCCTCCTTCCCAGACTCCCACATTCTTTTATGTATTAAGGACTGTGTGGTCATAGGGTTATTGAGTGAATGTGAAGGTTGTAGTTTGTTTGCTTGAAATGCTAGATTTATTGATGGTTGTGGTGAGTGGCTAACAGCCGGGAGAGTGGAAGTAGTTTATCAGTGAGACTGGGTGTGGCGGCGGTGACTTCAACGCCCCCCAGACACCCTTCCTCCTACGCTTGGTCTCTCCAGTCCAGTCATTACACATGTCCTTCCATGACTCTCCTGTTTCTCTTTTACCATGTCTATCCTACTGTTTCTCTTCTACCGTGTCTATCCTAACTTTTCTCTTCTACCGTGTCTATTCTACTGTTTCTTCTAAGCCCCTATATTCCCTGTTTCTGTCATTTATTAGTTTCCCTGCAAATCCCTCTATTTTGTAACCACTGTATCCCTTCCCTTCTCTCACGTCTTGCGTGGATCCAGACAAGCGCTAGCGTGGGGCGTTTCCTTGGGAAGGGGAGAGGAAAGAGAAGAAAAGGCTTACTCTAATGTATAATAATACATTGTAGACACAGGTGCAACATGTGCAGTTACTGGGTGTCATTATAATTGCTAGGTGTGCAGGCTAGATGTAATCCTTAATGTAAAAAATAATTCCCTCTAAGGCCATTTGCGTCCTCTGTAATACTTTTATTTTTTGCGCTGTTGCTCACAGGATGAATAGGGGGTGAACAATAAGCTTGCTGCCTCCGGCGGCAATAAAATTCATGGTGGCAGAACGTGATTAATGCTAAATCCGTGATGAGTTTAGTTTTCTCTCTCTCATTCCCCTCGCCTTCGGACCCCGTCTTACACCTCTCTCCGCCTCCCCACTGCTGGAAGATAGGGAATATGTCGATGTGCAGGCAGGCAGTTTCGGGAACGGTGTGCTGAAGGCCTATGGCGTTACTCTGGTATTCTTCGTTTTTCCAGTCTCCATCCAGTTTGTGAAGTGAAAGCTGAGGTGTGGCGTCCAGCGTGTCTGGTGGTTCCAGTCGGATTCTTCCAGCGTGTCCGAAAAATCCAGGCTTCGATTCCTCCGGCGTGTCCGGTGGTTCCAGGCGGATTCCTATAGCGTGTCTGGTTATTCCAGGCGGATTCTTCCAGCGTGTCTGGTGGTTCCAGGCGGATTCTTCCAGCGTGTCTGGTAGTTCCAGGCGGATTCTTCCAGCGTGTCTGGTGGTTCCAGGCGGATTCTTCCAGCGTGTCTGGTGGTTCCAGGCGGATTCTTCCAGCGTGTCTGGTGGTTCCAGGCGGATTCTTCCAGCGTGTCTGGTGGTTCCAGGCGGATTCTTCCAGCGTGTCTGGTAGTTCCAGGCGGATTCTTCCAGCGTGTCTGGTGGTTCCAGGCGGATTCTTCCAGCGTGTCTGGTAGTTCCAGGCGGATTCCCCCAGCGTGTCTGGTGGTTCCAGACGGATTCCCCCAGCGTGTCTGGTGGTTCCAGGGGAATTCTTCCAGCGTGTCTGGGCCAGGTCCCGGGCCGGGCTTGGGGAGTAGAACTCAATCCATAATCTCATCGAGGTACAATCCAGGTTCGAAATGGAACCCTCCAGCGCGCCTGGAAGCAGTGAAGACTGACTCACAGGAAGCTCAGCAGCGCAGCTCTCACACTGGGGTACAAAAAAAAAATGATTTCATTTGCATTATTATGCTGACGACACACCGTCGAGTGTCTGAAGGTGATACGTACGGAGGGAGGGAGGGAGGGGGGGGGTTAAGAGGTTGTTGTGGGACGACGATACAGGTCGTCGACAACGACGACACGGAAAGAGATCATTTGCATAAGGCGCTAACCTGTATATAGCTATAATTGGTCACTTTACCCCTCAGAACGGTCGTTGGCAGCAGCTTGTATGAACTTGTGTATGTAAATGTGTTATCCCCAGGAAGGCTCAAGTAGTGGGAACTCGAATATTCAACCGTTCCCGTTACCCTGTCCCCACACCCCCCTCTCCTGTGGTTTTGTTGTTGTTTTAGATTTAGCTACTCGGAACGAAATGTCCATGTAGCACGGGCTATGGTGAGCCCGTGACCACTCCTGCCGTCAACCCTCTATATCCGGGCCAGCCCCCTCCCCTCCTGGTGGGGCCACGGGCGCCGCATTCCAGTTAACACTGTCCCAGGGTGAATACATTTCATCCTAATATGTCCATCTCGAGATTTGCCAACGCAAGGTCGGTTGTTGTGTAGCGGTTCTCCTGGCAGCCTCACCCCCCCTACGCCAGTTGGGGAGAGGGAGGTTCACCCCCCCATCCTCCCCTACGCCAGTTGGGGAGGGGGAGTCGCCGCCGCCGGTTCATTTTTTTTTATTTTGCCCCGAGGGGCGAGTTTATTGGGCAGCGCCACTCATCCTGCAACCCGTTCTCGCACTTGCTTATAGTTAATATTTGGCTTATTAATAAGTGCATATGTGACATACTAATTTATTGTGAATATTTGAGTTTACCTTGAAAAGCTGAACAGAAAACACCGACCTAACCTAACATTCTTAGTATGTTAAGATAAGCACTATTGTTTCTATTGTTTAATAAACTTTATTGTTTAATAAAACTGAAAAAGAAATTCCTAATATTAAAAACTGGTGTTTAGCAATTCTTTAGAAAGAGTTTATACCTTGAAAACAAAATATAACTTGGCATGTACCACATATGTGCTTATTAATAAGCTAAATAGTGACTATAAGCAATAAGTCATATATGTACTGTCTTGTGCGAGAGCGGGTTGCATCCTGTGAGTGGACACACCGCCTTAGTGACAGTATTGGGCAGCGCCACTCATCCTGTGAGTGTACACACCGCCATAGTGACAGTATTGGGCAGCGCCACTCATCCTGTGAGTGGAAACACCGCCATAGCAGCATGTACAACACTCCCCAATAGGAAGAAAACCCGCTGGGTTGTTCATCCTGTCACTTGTACCCAGACACAGTTGGGACTTGCATTAACTGTCTCAAGTGAACAGCTCCTCAAACAAGAAGGTTAACATCTGTCAACCCTAAAATCTTACGTTATCTTGCGGGTGCTAAATGGGGAAAACTTTTAAGAACAGTATCAATACTTGACAAATAGTATTTTCATAAACAATGTGGGGTTTATTATTCTACACATATTTCTAATGTCTATCGGGTGTTCACATTCATGTAGAGAGTGGTCAAGGCGGTGTCCATCACTCTCACCACAGATTCTGCAACTCCGCTGCTCAACTGTTGTTCCCATTCCAAATCTCGACGGATATTTGTATCCAAGACGGATTCTCGCTATTACTGATTCTCTCCCGCGGCCACCTGCTCTTCGTCCGTAATGATTGGGATTGCCAGCTGCAACCATGGTGTACCCGCGTACAGATTCACTGGTTTGTTCTTTTATCTTCCATTCCTCGCCGCCGCTGGTGTGGTGGTAGGTTGTTGGAATAGTTGTGGTCGTGGTTGGATGGTGTGTGTGTGTGTGTGTGTGTGTGTGTGTGTGTGTGTGTGTGTGTGTGTTTGTGTGTGTGTTTGTGTGTGTATGTAGTAGTAGTAGTAGTAGTAGTAGGGAGGAGGTGTGGGCTAACTACTCTGATAATATGATAATATTCATGTCTTCATTTTTTTTTTTGCAGGCGGTGTGTGTGACCACGGACGGCTGGGTAGCGGTGGCGGCGGCGGCACGCAGCTTGCTGGCACCAACAGCTCGCCCTCACACTACAACAACCAGCAGTTTACCTTCCCTGTCCCGCCACACCAGGTACACCTGTTGATTGATTGATAAAGATTAAGCCACCCAAGAGGTGGCACGGGCATGAATAGCCCGCTTACCTGTGCATGTATATACCCCTCCCAGGTAAATGTGCCCTAACCAGTACCCTCCCCCAGGAATACCTGCCCTCCTTCAGTGCACTATGTTAAGATAAACGTGTAGTCTTGAGACCTATCTACCGCGGGGGCTCCTAATGGCCATAATCTACTTAATCTACCTAATCTACCAGCCACTGTGTTCAGCAGTGACAAAAACATAGTAAATCTTGGTGTTTATATAATATATACTTGAGTACACTTATTAGTGTGTGTATATATATATATATATATATATATATATATATATATATATATATATATATATATATATATATATATATATGTCGTACCTAATAGCCAGAACGCACTTCTCAGCCTACTATTCAAGACCCGATTTGCCTAATAAGCCAAGTTTTCATGAATTAATGTTTTTTCGTCTACCTAACCTACCTAACCTAACCTAGCTTTTTTGGCTACCTAACCTACCCTTACCTATAAATATAGGTTAGGTTAGGTTAGGTAGGGTTGGTTAGGTTCGGTCATATATCTACGTTAATTTTAACTCCAATAAAAAATTGACCTCATACATAGAGAAAAGGGTTGCTTTATCATTTCATAAGAAAAAAATTATAGTAAATATATTAATTCAGGAAAACTTGGCTTATTAGGCAAATCGGGCCTTGAATAGTAGGCTGAGAAGTGAGTTCTGGCTACTAGGTACGACATATATATATATATATATATATATATATATATATATATATATATATATATATATATATATATATATATATATATATATATATATATGTATATATATATACACACATACATACACTTGTGTATATCATCTCTTTCTGGATTTTGTTGCACTTAATAGAGTAAAACTTTCTATATATAAATAAGAGACTTAATGAATGGTCACAATTCACAACATTTGAATAGTTTGTATAATAGACGAATGTTGTCATAGCTTGGATTTTGTTTTTGTTTTTGCAAATGTTTTGACAATGTTGTGGTTGTTTTGATTGTGGTGTTGAGGCGGACCTGCCTCACGAATCCGAAGCTCTGTTCGCCCAGCTGTCAGGCGCCCTGACAGTAGATAGTAGACAGACAGTAGAGACCGGTAGAGTGGTTTTGACAAATAGTGAAAACCCGATAGTGATGGAGGCTTCTGTGGTGGTAGAAACAGAGATGGTGGTTACGTTATAGTCATTGAGATTACAGCGGTTATGACTACAGCATTTGCGGTGCTAGTGGTTGTGAGGGCAAAGATTGTGGTGGTTGTGAGGGGCAAGGATTGTGGTTATAGTTGCGATAGCAGGGGTCTGTTATGACAATAGTGATAGTTATAGTTGTGACGCCAGTATGTCATGATCTCTGTGATGAGTGTGGTCCTAAAGGTTGTGGTAATTGTGGTTGATGATTTTCATAGTGGCGGATACCTGGATGGGCTTTATAGTGCCTATTGTTACGAGTGTATAATGATGGTGGTGGTATATGTGATCATTTACCCGAGAGAAGTGCGTTCACACAGCAGTTCCTGGAGAGATATGAATGGAAGTCATCGTAGTGTCCCTCTTAACCTGTGTCCCTCTCTCTCCACAGCAACAGGTGCCTCAGTTCGCGCACCTGATGTGTCCGAAGACGTCCCCTGGCTCGCCCCACCACCTGCCGCAGGACACCACCTACTACCTCACCTACCAGCACCAGACCTCCCTCGAGGACCAGGGTATCGATGTTCAGGTGAGCTGCTACACTGTGAATCTGCTTCTCGTTCCATATTTATGCCTCGTATTCGCCTGTTTATGCGATCTGGTTCGCCTGTTATCAATGCATTATGGTGTTGCCTGGGGCACCATACACCCCCCCTTTCTGTATTGTTTTTGTGGTGACTTCCCCCCCCCCCCACAGATCATGTTCCTACGTAAATGCTATTGCATTACTACTTTTGAATGGCCCCTCATCATTGTATTCTGTTCAGTGGCAAACACTGCGGTTGTTATGGCACTAGTGGGGATGGGGGGAAAGGAGGGAACTCTGGAAATTGTCCACAGGTAAACTACAGATAATGTCTTGTACACAGTCTCCGGGTCGGTCGAGCCCCGGGTCAGGCAGCGGGTCGTCGACGACAGGCTCGACGGCGTCGTCTGGCGGGTGTCGGAACTCCACCACCTCGCTCGACTCCGGCCGGGCCTCCACCACCACCCACTCCCACCAGCACAGGTCAGTCTCTTTCCTTCTCTCTCTCTCTCTCTCTCTCTCTCTCCCTTCCCTGTTCTCCTTTCATGAAGCTCTTCTTCCCTTGGCATGCTTCTCTCCGGCTACTGCTCCTCCTCCTCCCTCCTCATTATTCTGTATCTGCCAAAGTTATCCCCAACGGTTATCTGTCACTGTTAAACATGCGTTTGTTTGTCCTTTTTAACCATTCATCTTGACCTTTCTCTTATATTTTATCTCAATATCTTTGTATTTTTGTTTCCATTTATTCTTGTTTATCAAAGACAGCTGCAAACAAAATGTTGTTTAAATATATATATATAACTGGCCACAGTCTTAGTCCGGCCGTCTGGGGGCGGGTGGCGAGGCGCTATATTCAAATCGATTTTGTGTATTAGCATAAAATAATAAATCTTGAGCAAATTACTGACAGTTGCAATATATTAGAGACATCAGCGTTAATGTATTGTTTACATGAACTAGGATTTAATTGGGGAGCTTGCAAGGACATGGAGATATGGGTGTAAGTTATGTGGGGTTATTGTATATCCTTGTTGAAGTGTGTGTGTGTGTGGGGGGGGGTGCAGTGTGACGTGGTGTGATGAAGATTGATCTGATGTAATGTGATGCATGTTATGGTATTTGTGTATGAAGTTCGATGTGGTGCAAATCCAACCTTAGGGTTTGCTGTTCCAGGCAGCGGCTGGCCTCAAAAAGTTCCAGTCGCCAGATTTGTCATACTTTGTAGATAAACACTATATTTTCTTAATAACACACATATATTTATTTATTTATTTATATACAAAAAAGGTACATCGGGTTTGTGAGAGTACATAGCATGATATGTTTACATTCTTGCGGGCAGTGAGATACCAATTGCTGCTATATTGTTTTGGATCGGTATTTCCCCTTCTGTTGACAATTTTGTATATTTATAGTACGCGGGTGGAGAACTTAGAGAGATGCTCCTCGAACACAGGAAGTTAGTCAGTTGTGAGTAGTGTAATGTGTTCTTTATTGACACATACGCCCCCCCTCCCCCGTGCGTCAACCCACGCTACTGGGTTGACGCACGATGGGGGGGGGGGGGTTGAACATTGGCGTTCAAAACGCCAATGTTTTGAGGTTGGATTGGTAGGGTGTAGCGTGGTGTGAAGGGTGTACTCGCCTAATTGGGCTTATTGGGAATTTGTAGTTTGTTGTTGTTTTAGATTTAGCTACTCTGAACAAAGTCCCAAGTAGGCCGGGCTATGGTGAGCCCGTAGTGGACTTACCTGGCACAAGAGTTGTGAGGAGCGGGGCTGTAACTGCCCGTGCTTTTGGTCGTTTTCTGTTGCTTGGGTACTTCCTTATCCACTGGAGCACCTTTCCCATTACTCCATTTTTATTTCTCCAACTTATGCAACAGTTTCTTATGGGGCACTGTTCGAAAAGTTTTTCAACAGTCCGAGAAAATCCACCGCTCTCTTGCTTAATTTTTGTCGCCTAGTCATAGAATTCTGTTAAATCTGTGAGGTTTAACAGAATTACCATCCCCGAACCCATGCTGGTGGTGTGTTAAAAGTTCGTTCTCTCCAGATGTGCTGCTAGCATTTTTTTCTCATGATATTTTCCATCACCTTGTATGGTATGCAAGCTAGGGACACCAGCCTATTGTTTAGTGCCTCCTGCCTATCACCCCTTTTTGTATATTGGGACTACAGAGGCTGTCTTCCAACTTTCTGGTAGATCTTCTGTTTCCAGGTGGTGTGGTATGGTATATGATGATGTATGGCATGATGCGGTGTAGTACAGCATGATGTGCTGTGGCGAGACGTGATTTGAGCGATGTGGTGAGGTGTAGTATGGAGCTGTGTGGTTCAGCATGCTGGGTGTGGTATGACGGCTGCGGTGTGTGTGTTCGGGGGGAGGGTTGGGAGGAGAGAGAGTGTTGTGATGAACGTCACTGAGTGATGGCGTTGTGTTGTGTTGTGCAGGCTGAGCGGGCAGAGCTACGACAGCGGCTCCATCCTCCGTCACAGCTACCACTCTTCCAGCTCCAGTTTGGGCTCCATGGAACACGACCCAGCAACCCACGTCAACGTTCCAGAACTGCTGAACAACGGAGTCAGAGTAAGTGCTCCACCCACAAGTTTCTAACCATTTTCTATATATATATATATATATTTATATTTTAACCATTATAATTCTGTATAATCTAAGAGGAAGTTTCTCTTCCCTTTTGGATTTTGTACTTTTATCTTTGCCTTTCAAATGAGATGGTTTGTTTACATTTGTCAGCTGGGACACCGGGAATATTTATGTTTACATCTATCAGCTGGCACATCAGGAATATATTTCTTAATATCTGTCAGCTGGCACAGGAAATATTTTTTGTTTACAATGTCAGCTGATGATGAAGCGGGCAACGTTTGCTGCACTTTATTTTTACTTTGTATTTTTAACTGGGATGTAGTTAAAGATACAGTTAAAGTTATTATTTTGCCGGCAAATAGTTTATTTATCGGGTCATCTGGTGCAGCGGGACTTACCTCCCGCCAATTATATGTATCATATGATCTTTTGTTTTCTAAAGGGATTTATTTACCTGACATGTACGGAGTAAAGTCTTGTACAGCTGTTGTTTTTCCCTACCACATACGTGGCCATTTATTTACAGTGCTAACCACCATATATACATTTTCTTCTGTCTTCCCTGGACAGGTTTAGTGTAAAGGTTACACACACACCACATTTTGTGTAGTGGGTTATTGAGGCACTCGGCCACATGAGGAGTTGTGAGGGGGAGTGGAAGAGGGGGGGGAGTGGGAGGGGGGGTTGGGCTAGGGTAAAGGGACACGAGTGGACCTAATTATAAGGCCAAGAGTAGAGTCTGCCAGTTTAACACCAGCAATCGGGGTCCGTGTTCATTTTTTCTTTTGAATCCCGTGTTCAGCACTAGACTATTATGTCTATTACACGTTGAGATGACGATCTTGAAGTAAGTGGAAATGCCACGTCCGAATTTGTATTTCCCAGCGTTTAATGCATGCCGTTAAAGAGTGTGAAGAGTAATTATAAATGGAATAATTACAATATGCCGTTTTCTGTTTTTTCACTCATAATATAAGGTTCGGTCTGTGAATAGTGAAATAATGTGGTTGTGTGGGTACCCCCGGTGTGTATGGTAGTTAGGAAGGCCCTGGGTATAAGATGGTTGACTACCTACCCACCTATAGTAGATCTTGAGTAATAGGATGGTGGTGGAATAGTGGTTATCAGTGACTACGGGTAGCGAGTGAGGTGTGTGTGTGTTATTTTGAAATCTGTCTGCATTTGCCATCTTTGTCGCATCTGCTCCTACACTTGTGAATGAAGCTGTGAACCCTGGGTGTATGGTTGGTTGGGTAGGCCCCTGGGTGTATTGTTGATGGGGGTAGACCCTGGGTGTATGGTTGATGGGGGGTAGACCCTGGGTGTATGGTTGCTAAGGTAGGCCCCTGGGTGTATGGTTGCTAAGGTAGGCCCCTGGGTGTATTGTTGATGGGGGAAGACCCTGCGTGTATGGTTGATGGGGGTAGACCCTGGGTGTATGGTTGGTGGGGGTAGACCCTGGGTGTATGGTTGATGGGGGTAGACCCTGGGTGTATGGTTGGTGGGGGTAGACCCTGGGTATATGGTTGCTAAGGTAGGCCCCTGGGTGTATGGTTGCTAAGGTAGGCCCCTGGGTGTATGGTTGATGGGGGTAGACCCTGGGTGTATGGTTGCTAAGGTAGGCCCCTGGGTGTATGGTTGGCGGGGTAGGCCCTGGAGGGTAGAAATTAAGGCCGTGGATGTGTGGTGGTGGTCGGAGCAGGGCCATTCCACCAATCCTAGCCAGTGTTGAGGGCGACCGGGACACTGGGGGATAAAACCGCACAGGGTATATTGTGTCAGGTTCTTGCAAGAGGTTGAGGGCGTGCAGAATCCCGCACGCTGGCCCTCGCTCCTAGAATTTCATCCGAGTTAGGTAACGGAATACCATGAAAACAATAAGCGTTTTGAAAGGCGTTCTACCACGACTTGGAGACAGGCATGGACTTAAGACCTTGCTGCCTACTTAAGGCTATTAAACCTCGGCCGTTGTTGTTGGGTACATTGAGCTTTAGGATGGGGTTAGATTGGGTTAGTCAGCGTGGACCGTCTAACGGCAAGGGATAGGCCCTTGTTGCGGCAGAGACTGTCAGATTTCATCAACTGACTGGAGGGACAGACGTCCCTTGACTGGTCTTGTCGTTTTATAAAGGACACTCACTTCAAATGGAGTGATGCCAGTCGATTTATGTCCCTTTATCTAGCTATGCTGTATAGTTAAGAGGTTCTTTTAGACGTATAAATTCTCTTAACTGGACGAAAATACTAATAAAGTCAGCACACGATACACTCACAATGTTCAAGATATTCCTTAAAGGGATACCGTATGCATATTTTCACTAAATAAATTCGCGTTACCCGGTAATTTCTTGTATATAGTTCTTAACCCATATGTACTCGGGGGTTTTTCTGAATAATAATAAAGAAATAATAAATATTCCGATTATGAATGAGTACAAATGTTCATCATATCGCGATCACGATGGCATCAGAGTTCAGCCTTAGAAATATATACGCTAGACGACACGTTTAAGGTAAACAAACCTTTGCTCTTATATGTGCGTGTTTACATTTACTTACCGAGAAAACAAGTGTTCTACCAGGACGCTTGACCCAGCATCAGGGACGTCGTAAGATCCACGGTGCTGTCTCCTGCTCTGGTCAAATGCTTTACATGGAATACAACTTGTGAAGAACGGTACAGAACCGGCGACGGATAGGCTGCTACCAGCGAAGGATAGGCTGCTACCAGCGAAGGATAAGCTGCTACCAGCGAAGGGTAGGCTACAACCAGCGAAGGATAGGCTACAACCAGCGAAGGATAGGCTACAACCAGCGAAGGAAAGGCTACAACCAGCGAAGGATAGGCTACAACCAGCGAAGAGCAGGCTACAAGTATGCATATTGGCTGCAACAGCTAAGCTTGTTAACAAAACAATTAAATACCCCGATGAAGGCATGCTCGGCCCCTCAGTTGTTTTGACTGAGATAATGAAGAGAGAGACGAGTTGTGTTTAACGAACATTCTCAATGTGTTGATAAACTTCAACACGTAGACGCTTATTATATTCCCTCTTGAGTACCCTAAAGTGAGGATAAGGGCGCGAGGCACGTTCCTGGCGCTGGTGTGAAGGAGGAATGTAGGCGTTGTGTGTCTATAACCCTCAAGTGGGCACCATTGCTTAAGTGGCCTGTTGGTACGGCACCGGGCTTATTATAGCCCTTGCTCAGCCCAGTGAACCTTGGAGGTAGAGCGTGGGTGGGGGGGGGGTAGCAACATCAACAGGCCTCTATGTCTATGCTCAGTTGCATATTTTTTATTTTATCTACGCTGTCTTTTGGACTCTTAGTAAGTCGTCGTGATTACTTAGTAAGTCGTCGTGAGGTAACACTTAAATCAACTTGAATCAAAAACAAAACCTAAATATAGAGCAATCATCTTCAGTCTTGTAGTGTTTATTTTCTGCGCGTTCATATCCCAAGCCAACCTCACAATGACCATATAAAGTGAAGATGGTGTCTGGTGCGTCCTTCACCCGAGGTGAGGCTGTGTCTTGGTTGTGTGATCTACTCTCCTAAATATGCTTATTAGCCCCGAGCGTTAGCTGCTGAGAACCTCTTCAATCTATCAATCGTTTAATGCAGTGCCTTGGCTCATGTTTATGAATCCCTGGTTTGGTGACTAATGGATTTGTCATATCTATTGGTGTACGTTCTTCCTTGCTTCTTAACTAATGGATTAGTTAATCCATTAGCTTCCATGTGCACTCGTTCGTAACTGTTTTGGTATGGGTGGCACAAGGGCTGTGTGGGGGCTTCTCATGCATTTATATACTCATGCTGTAGACGCGACTATGTCGTGTTGGGGAACATACGCACGCATGTCACCGTCGAGTGTTGAGTCATTGTCTGAATGTGTGTGTACAGTATATGCACTAACATCGTAAACATTTATGGATCTCTATCAACATACTCATTATGTCACTGTCGTTGTATACAAACCAATGTTCACCACTTTCACGTAACAATGGCAGCGGGTGATGCATGTCCGCCGTTTGATGACCTCGTTGTTGCTTGCCACCTCCCTGGCATACATTATGCAAAATAATAATGTTTGAAGGGAATATCGCCTTTTGACTTGAATACAAAATATATATTATTATGTTTTGTTATTTGCTATGTCTACCTTGCTTGTACTTGGATGGGGTTCTGGGAGTTCTTATATTCCTCAAGCCTGACCTTGGGCCAGGCTTGACTTGTGAGAGCAACACATGCTCTGCAGGAATATATACAGAACTTGCATCATGTTATCCTTCATTTTTATCACATTTTGAACTTTGAACCATGTGCCAAGAACCAAGACTATTGAGACTGCACAAGGTGTTCGACAGTTATGCGACCATTTCCTATTAATATCTCGCTTAATATTTTAAAGTCATTTTTGATTGGAAGACCTTAATTGAGATATACATTATACGTATATATGTCTGGCCGGTGGAAAGTAGTCGCTGACAGAAGGTACCGGTAATATTTTGTTCCACTAGGAAGATGGAACTGCTCTTAAGGTAAATTATTGTTTGTTTAACATGAAGATGAATTGTGACTGGTCTGTCCCGAGTTACGGATGCCAGCATTGTTTTGAGTTATGGACAGCCTTAAACAGTTATAATGGCAAAGTGTAGCTGTCCTATATTCAACCCATCCTCTCGAATAGTACATCGCATTTTGCCTCTAAGGCGAAAAACTGATGGATTAAAAATCACCGCGGCTCGCAAAATTGACGATGTCCCGTTTTGTACTCGTAGATCCTTGGTTTGGTTAGGTTCAAGCACTAATAGTACATTAGTGATGTTGGGAATGCTCGAGAGGATGGGCTGGTTAATCGGTGATTAGTTACTGATGATTGCAATCTTTGTAGACGAGTTTCTGGTGATTGCAATCTGTGTAGATGAGTTAGTGATCATTTCAATGTGTAGATTAGTTTCTGATGGTTGCAATTTGTATAGAAGAGTTACTAATGGTGACTACAGGAAGTATTCACGACCAGTGACCATTTGTTTTACTGTACCGTATTTTAGTTTTTGAAAGTTTATTCCACTGGAGGTAATTTAAATATTAATGCACCTTGTTCAGTACAGTACATGAGATTTTTTTTTTGTTAACTTTTCAATTTCAGTTAAAAATTAAGTAAACAGATTTGTCAACATTTAAATTATCTTTTAGTTGTAATTATGGGCAATTGTAATGTAATATAAATATAAATATTGTAGTTTAAATTTTGAAAAAAATAGCTTATATTAACTTATTAGAACTTAGCTCTGATTACCTGTGATATTATACTTTACTGCACATAATTATACTGTATTGCAAATTTGAAAAAAAAATAGAATTTTGGAAAAATAAACTTTTTACATTAAAATTAATTCAGCTGCAAATAGTAATTGTCTGAAGATTAAACAACCAACTAACACATCTTAAAATTTAGTATTAATTTTTTTTTTTTACTTTCAGGATTCAGAAGTGTTAGGTGCTTGGTTAACAGATCTTCGCTTTGAGGAATACTATGAAAAGTTTATATCTGCTGGCTATGACATGCCAACAATTTCACGGATGACTCCAGAAGACTTGAATGCCATTGGCATCACAAAGCCTGCTCATCGGAAAAAACTTAAAGCTGAAATAACCAGACTCAACATCTCAGATGGACTACCTGATTTTATACCAGTAAGAAATGCCTATTATGCACTAAAATTAATTTGAAAGGAGGGGGGGGGGGTGTAATTACCTAATAATTAATAGTGTATTAATTAATAATAATTAATAGTGTAATTAGGGAGTGGGTTCTGAGAGTTCTATTCTTCAGTCGACCTGGGGGACAAGGCTTGTTTTGTGACTTAATCTTTTAGATTTTGTGACTTAATCTTTTAGATTGTCAGATTCCATCTCATGGATCCTAAAAGAATCTCCAAGATGGGAATTTGAAGTGCTTTTGTAATTATCTGAATCTGTAATTAAGAGCAGTCTTCTTACTCATTATTAGTTATTATGTATAGTTTACAATAGACAAACTGACTCTACTTTAATAAAACTATAAAATCTGGCACCTAATGTCAAATAAACTTGGGATCCATTCTTAAGGAAGATGTCAAATATTTGGAAGTAAAGTCATTCCTAGAGAGGGAAAAAGAAGAATGAGGAAAATACAGTACAGTATGTTGAAATATATGGCAAGTTTGGTTGTGGATCAAATAAAATATAACATTCACAAGCATAGGATATGCATGTGCAGCTTTGTTGTACTGCCTTTATTCCTTTAATCTGCCATTAAACTTACCATACACTTTAAAAAAAATCATTTTGAAATCATTTTGCATTTTAAAAAATCAAACATGAAGGATGGGCATAATCAAAAGCATCCAAATGAACTCCTTGAAGTACCCCATAGCATTGGGCTTGAAGGTGAGGCAGGCCACAAAGAAATCTGATATTGACTTCCTGAGAAGTAAAGCTAATAGCTTAGGCTAAGTCTTGACAGCTGAAGAGGCAGAGATCAAGGCTGGCAAAAAAACGATCCCCCGCCCAAAGTCAGCAGCTGCTCTACGAGCTGTGCAGCTGCTGTACGAGCTGTGCAGCAAATAATTTTTGAACTTATGAGCAACATGTAATGTCTGTCAGGTGTGACCAGGTGCTTGAAATCAACCATGACCAAAGCCATCTGTAAAAGGAAAACTTGGATGTGGAATTACTGAATCCTAACATCCATGAATAGGACAGGTGCATATTAAAAAGTCCTATTAAGGAAGACAGGAAGAATTTTTGTTTCAGGGAGACTGTTCCCTTGAACAGAAGAAGGGTGAAAGTTACATAATTTTCTCAAGGATAATAAGGGTTAAGTTACCATTTAGCCAAAAGGAGACTGGAATGTCATACTACAACCAGGAGGTTGCAGCGGGCCCAAACTCAAAAAAGGTAGGACCCACATCTGACGCCTGGTCTCTATCCCACAGTTTGAATAATAGAAAGTCCCACCAGCCTGACCTGAAGGTACAGTATGTGAAAACTGCAAAAACCTGTGCAACATCAGCACATCCTCTTGCACTTACAGGATGAGAAAAAACTCAAGAAGAGGCCCCAAGGAAGAATGAAGCTCAGACTGGGAAGGCAGATAAAATATGTTCCCGTTGATTGAGAAAAACATTCTTTTCCAGTCTACCTACCTATCTTGTTTAACTTCCGGGGATCAACAGCCCTGGGGCCCAGTCTCTGACCAGGCCTCCCGGTTGGTCGTCTGGTCACTCAGACTGTTGGACGTGGCTGCTCGCAGTCTGTCTTGGAACAGAAAAAGCTAGGATATATCAAATGGAAACCAGTGCACATCTTAAGAGGCCTCCACAAACTGATATCCTCTCCCTAAGCACAGAGAAGGGTTCAGCTTCAGAACTCGCACCCCAGGTCGATATGCTGGCTTTTTTTTTTTTTAGAAAGGAGAAATAATAATAATTTTAAAATTCATTGTGTTGGGGGACAGGAAGCCAGAATGTATTTATACACATTAGACTTATATTAAAGTCCTTCCAAGCTCGAATTACTGATCCCGCCCAGGATGCAACCCTACAACAAGCTGACTAACTCCCGAGTACCTACGTGCTGCTAGATGAACAGGGGCATTAGGTGAAAGGAAATGTGCTCAACCATTTCTGTCCCTTACCTTACCTTGTGATGGTTTCAGGGCTTAGCATCCCCACAGCCCAGTTATTGCCTAGGCCTCCTGGTTTTTGGGCTGGTCAACCAGGCTGTTGGACACAGCTGCTCGCAGCCTGACGGATGAGTCACAGCCTGGTTGATCAGCTATCCTTTGGAGGTGTTTATCGAGTTCTCTCTTAAACACTGTGAGGAGTCGGTCAGTTCAGTCCTTGTGTGTACCCTTGGTCAGTACCCTTGTGTGTAGTGGAAGTGTGTTGAACAGTCTTGGGCCTCTGATGTTGAAAGAGTTCTCTCTCAGGGTACCTATTGCCCCTCTACTTTTCATAGGGGTATTCTGCACATTCTGCTGTGCTTTCTGGTCTCATGTGGTGTCATTTCTTTGTGCAGGTTTGGGACCAGCCCCTCTATTTTCCACGTGTAAATTATTATGTATCTCTTCTGCCTGCACCTAAGTGAATATAGATTTAGGCATTTTTAGTTGTTTCCAATAGTTTAGATGTTTTACTGAGTGGGTTCTAGCAGTAAAGGATCTCTGCACACTCTCCAGGTCAGCAATTTCTTCAGCTTTGAAAGGGAGTGGGATTCCCACCTGGGATTCAAACCCGGAATTCTCGATTGTGTGTCGAGAACGAACCCGACCGTACTACCAGGACCCTTAATGGAGTGCCTATCAAAATAGCCTCAAACTCTCCTAAAGACAGATTAAGAGCAGCCTCTAATATGACTACTGTGCCTTCAATTTCAAAAGCTGTGTCATTTACGAGTCTTAACCAACAGCGAAAGATAAGTCCGACAAAAAGGGGTTGTGGAGGAGTTAATTCCATTGGGAATACACAGTACAGCACAATATTCCCTATTTTGCATCATCCCTAGAAATGTGTTTCATCTTCAGTAATGTATCTCATAAGCTACATATTTAAAATGCGATGTAAGAAGAGTGGAAATTAAGTCAATTTTAGAATTATTATAATTAATAATAAAAGTTAATAAAACAAAAATAAATGCTTTGTAATTTTATCTTCAGGGTCGTTTGGAGGATTGGTTATCAATTTTGCGGCTTGAGGAATACACAGCTTCACTAAGGCAACAGAAGTACACATCTGTGGAGCAGATGACACAGCTCACTTGGGAAGATCTGGAAGATATTGGAATTACTAAGTTGGGTCATCAGAAAAAAGTAAATATATAACTATTTGTTTTTATTTATACTGCACAGCTGTAGAAGCAAATGTACATGTGTACATTTACTTCTGTAGTTCTCAATATGTTGCAAATATATCTTTTAATTTGTTTTCTGTTTATTCTTAATATAACATTACCTGTCTTAATTATGTAAACAATTATTTATACATATGAAGTATGAGCGTGAAATTAGATTGCCACCATAGATGGCAGCAGTTAACAGGTCCATGTACCTGTTTTAAAGGTCAGAAGATCTGGCTGAACATACGTGGCTTAAAAACATTTTCTAGGAACATGGATGGAAATAGCATTTCACAGCCAAAGGGCTAGTTTAAGAAAGAGTACAGTGCAGTATTTTTTTGGGCAACTTGTGACATAATAAGGGAGAGAAAGCCAAGGCTTTTGCACTGTCCAATGTATTTCATTTTAGTCCCTGAAGGATTTGACCATATGAATGTTATGGTTTTGATTGCATTGCCTTGAAATTATTTTTCCATCCATTTCAGGCCATTGCTTTCTGCCCCCTGTGAAAGTGGGAAATGGGGGTAATAATAATTGATACATAATGTTTAAGGTAGACAGTTACAAAAGTTATTTGTCACCAAATTAGCTAATTTGGAAAGCATATTGCAATGATGAAATATATGTATAGAAAAAAGCTCATACTTCTCTTATTGTTTTAGGTGATGTTGGCTATTAAACGTGTGAAGGATATAATGGCTGGAAAGAAGTTCACCAATACTCAAGACCCACGGCAACAGTCACATTATGGAGCACATGAAATTATGATTTCTAGAGAAGCTTCAGAGGGACGAGATCAATATGCCAGCGTGCCAGAATTCCGTACGTTTTCTGGTCCTGGACACTATGGCAATGGGGAGCATAACCGACTTAGTGGCCCTGCAGACTCTGGGGTTCATTATGGTGTGCAGACTCATTATGTTCCTGGTGTTCAATATGGCCCTATGCCACCCCCTCCACAAGCACATGTGCATCCAATGTCTCAGCAAACCGGACCATTTCATCCATCCAACCAATTTAGTGCTCCACAAGGCCCCTCACCTCCAGGATCAAAACTTGCAAATATTCCACCTCACCCTCTCCCTGGTCCGGGTCAGGTTCAATATCGGCCTGATTTAGTTGCAGTTCAGGTCCGACCAGGTGGAAGAGGAAGGAGTATTGAGAGCTTAGAAGAGCCAATTTATGGCACATACCATACATTCCATCCAGACAGTAGACTACAATTTGTTCAAGGGCCTATGTCACTTGGTAGTTTACCACCAAGACCTTTCTTGCCAACATCTATGGGGACACCAAATCCACAGCGGTCAATGGATGATGGTGACATTACTCCCACAAATGAATATGCGAATAATTATGAGGGTGGAGGAACATTACCCAGACCTCGTACTGCTAACAAACTCCGACCAGTTGCTAAAGTTACAGCAAAGACCCGTGTGGATGTCCATGAAGTACCACAGTTTATTAAAGATGGAATGAACCTGAAGAAACCTTCTCAAAAAGAAGAAATTAACATGAAAGATTTAAATATAAAGGAATTAAACTTAAAAGCACTAAATCGGCAAAATTCTGAGAAGATATATAATACCAGTCAAGGTACTGGAAGTAGTAATAACACACCCCAGGGAACACCTAAGAAAATTCCTCCTCCTCCTCCTCGCCGCTCAAACTCTATTAGTGAGACTTCCAAAGAAGCAGCATTACAAGAAAGCCAATATGGGTATCTGCGACGGGGGTTGTCATATGGGTACATGGGAATTAAGAATAATTTACAGCCTGATGTCACTCCAGACCTGCCACCTCCACCAGCACCACCCGATAGTGCCAATCACCAACACCTACCCGACGACTTCCCACCTCCACCACCTCCATTAACATGTGTTACAATGGCCAGTTCTACACGTATTACAGCCAGTTCAACAATAACGACTTCATCTATTACCAGCGACTCCCTAGCCACATCGCAGACTTCAACAACTTCATCTGAAGATGATGTTTCGACAGGGTTTCGGCCAAGGCGAAATGATTCCAATGCTAGCTTTAAGGTAAATTCATTGTGTGTTTAATTTTATCACAATTTCTTGCCTAATATTTTTAATTTGAGTTTTAGGCCTCAAATAAGTTGAGTACTGTAAAGGATTAGGTAATTTAGCACCATATTTTCTGCAGAACATGATTTGCTAATTAAACCACCATTTCTCCAATACCAGCTGGGTAAACAAAGGCAAAGAATGTAAAGGAACAGTGCCCCATCATCCTACCCTACTCATAATTTGAATCCCTGTCCTCTCACTAGTGAGGCATGTCCATTATCCCCCATTCTATCATTGTTATAACAATAAGAATGCATTAGGACTTTCATTTATTGTGCTAAAAAAACTCAATTTGATAAGGCTTTCGATAAAATATGGGATATTATTTTATTATTATTATTTATCTCATGTTTTGCTTTAAGTTGACACAGAGGCAGACCTACACATAGGTCTTTAAAATGTTTATGCTGTAGTTGCAAACACATGCATAAATGTTTTGTTCAGAAGATGATAAGAGCAGATGTATGTGCTGATCCATGACATACACGTACACTTAGTTGTGTGTATCTTGGCTATGACTTGGTGTTTAAATTTATGGCCCATTCACTCTTTGACCTCAATTTATCATTCATATTGTACCCAATATTTTTCATCTGTCACATTGTGCTGTTTTGGAACTTCCCGTTTTCTGAGAGAGTAGCCATATGCTATATCCTGCTCATATTTTGAGGGGGATGGCCACAGAAAGAATCCCCTACCTCCTGCCTTAGCATTTTGAAATTGAATATTTCTTGAAAATTTCCACATGCTTATTTGGTTAGTGTAAAAGTGAAAGAGTTGTCTATTATTTGTACTGGAAGATAATGTGTAAGGAATAGAAAGAACTATCAATGGGTGGTTGCAGTTCAATACAGTGAAACAGTACACAACAAAAATATAAGGTAGAAAGTTAAAATATATATTTTTATTTATTTTGCAGTCTACCTCCAGTACAGATTCTGAATCCTTGCCATTTGCAAATGAAAATGCTGGGACTATTAAGCAGCGAGCTTGCCGTCCTCATCCAGGATTGACTGTATTGGATACTCGAAACTCTCCGCATTCTTCCCCGCGCTCCTCTCCTGCTTTGCGTCGGAAGGACGCTCAGCCCCCTCTCCGACAAAATCCTATCGCTAATACAGAATCTACTGGACAAATCAAATCAAACTCGAGGTAATGTCATTGTTTCCAACATGGAAACCACTTGTTTATATATACATTAATTTTGCACTCTTGTGCTTCTTGCTCACTTCTCTGGAATTACATCCTAATTTTTCTTTTACTATTTGAAGGCAAAGAAAACTTACATGCACAGCTTATGCCATCATTCTTTTATCTGCTGGTATTTGACATCTGAACATAAGGCTAAATTAGTTTGAACTTGAAATTAAAATTAAATGCATTACATTTTAAATACAATGCAGTATGTTACGAGAAATGTCACGTAAAATAAGTGTTAAGATTGCTGAAATTTTTTGCCAACTTGACTATGTTCATGTATTTGGATTACCAAGCTTAAGTCCATCCACTTTCTGGGGGGAGCCCCTACGGCTCCCCGGAGCTATCTAGGCTGATAAGGATATATCCCTGACTTTGGCATCAGTCGATGTCGGTGGAGTTCTAGGCCTACTGGGAATCACGAGTTAGAGCCTGACCTCAGAGAGGCACAAGGAGCAATGGCCTATTGAAATGCATGTGTGATTTTGGAGCATTCTATATCTGCTATCGACCGGGACAGGCACCCAGAAAGGTAAGCGCCCCAAAACAAACCCCTATTCAGGTTAAAACGAGGAAAATAGACAAACGAGTGGACCGATATCCTCCAAATGAAAACGAGCAAACGAGCATGATGTCACACGAGCCGTGTCGCATGTCTGCATCCGGAGGTCTGGGGTCTGGGCCCGAGGGCCCAGACCCCCAGACCTGCGACCCCAGCGGATTGAACCTGCGACCACAGGATCACGCGCCCAGCGTGCTGTCCAGTCAACCACCGGTCCCCTGCCGGGTGAGGGGGGGGGAGGTGGCCTCTGCAACCGCTTGTGCGTTGCAGTGTCTGCTGTTGGATGTTGCTTTTCGATCACCCACTCCTGTCCCTACAGTTCCTTTTCGTTTGGACAGGGGGAGCTAGGATTTTGGCCCCTGGCTTCAGCTTTTTCTTTGTGTTCCTTTTCTGGACAGTACATTTTTGTTTTAGTGCAGTACGTGTCCTACGTAGTTCTCCTCATTCCTTCCGCTGCGACACGTGCGTCGTTCTGCCTTGCTGGGGCCGGTGATGCTGCTCCTGTGGGTTGCGGTGTCACTGTTTTTCGCTTCGCATTTTGGCGCGTGGCGCTCGCTTCCTTGTTAGCCTCTGCCTGGGCCCGGGTGCATAGGTTTTTGTTAACATTTTGTCCTTGCTGTTTGCGGAATCTGTGGTTCGGCAGTTTCTGCAAGTGGCTTTTTCTCATCTTTTGCTGTCGGACTTGTTGTTCCTTCACGGGTCCCGTGGGAGCTGCGCAGACATGCGGCGCAGCTCATGTGACATCATGCTCGTTTGCTCATTTTCATTTGGGGAGTTCTGTCCACTCGTTTGTCTATTTTCGTCGTTTTAACCAGAATAAGGGTTTGTTTAGGAGTGCTTACCTTTCTGGGTGCCTGTCTTGGTCAATGGCAGATACAGAATGCTCCAAAATCACATGTGCATTTCTACAAGTCACTGCTCTTCGTGCCTCTCTGAGGAGAGGCAGGTTATGGCTCGTGGTCCTCGGTAAGCCTAGAACTCCACCCACATCAACTGATGCCAAAGTTAGGGATATCCATATCAGCCTGGATAGCTCCGTGGAGCCTCTGGGACTCACCCAGAAAATGGCATTTCATTACCTTCAATGCTGGTTATTTTGATTTATACAGTACAAGGCTGTATGTGTTTCTTGTATGCCACACATTATAATCGATTCTAAAGATACATGCATAATATGCAAAAATCACAAATTTAACTTATTTCATATCTCACCTGTTTATGCCAGTCAGGTGACAGATCTTTCAGTGTCACATTTGCATCTTTCCTTGACAACCATATGAGGCTACTTAGCAGGCCTTCCATCTTTTCCTCTTCAGCATTTATTCTGTGTCTGTGGTGATTGTTATGTCGTTTCTTTCTTGGCTTTTTGTGGATTGCCATTTGATGCCTAATACTGTATTGTCACCTACTATACAGTACTTTGACTTTGGCGGAACCTCTCTTGTTTTACAGTTACAGTATAGTCGATATTTTTTTTTGTGAAGCTGTCTTGGGCAATTTTTTTTATTTTACTGTTGGTTGACTCATTTAGTTCTTAACATTCTTAGCTGTTTAATTGGGATCTGGCTTTTTTGTCCTCTTCTCGATTGGCTTACTCCCCTCGCAATCACAGATGATGCTATATTTCAGGCTTCCTTCTTGAATCATGTACTATTTTCTCCTGAACGTCTCATTTTATTCTGCTCAAAACCTGAACGAACTAACAGCAAATGCAAAAACTTCTTATTTAATATTTTGTATCGTTGTTATACAAGACAATTGTTTGTTTAATTGTTTAAATGCAATGATTTTTTAATAAAAACTTTCTTTCACAGTTCTCCAGATGGCACAGGCGATGTCCTTAATGACATTGGAAATATGCTGGCAAACCTCACGGATGAACTAGATGCAATGCTTGAACAGGAAGTTATTCTGAAAAATTAAATGTCCAGAATCATCCACTAAAAAAAAAAAAAATTTAAACCATTGTATAGTCATATGGTTAGTTTTGGTGCTTGTGGCACAATTTTCCAAATTATTAAGAATATAGTGATCAGTTAAGAAAATGACAATTTTTAGAGATCAACCATACAATCAACTATAATTTTGAGCAACAGAAAGAATACAGAGAACATAAATAAGTTTAAGTAAATTTATAGCATGTAATAATGTCGTTAGAAGACTTTCTTGGTGACATTGCTTATAAAGTTGATTGCAAGCTTAGTTCAGCAGACCTCAATAACATATCTCAGTTTGATAGTACTCTATCAGTCTTGATTAAAGGAATAGTGACAGTTTCAACAATTTGTCCCAACTTAAAAAAAAACAAGAGATAGAAGGTTTATCTTGTTCTTTGGATAATAGCTAAATGTTAAGACTGATAGATCTTGTTAATGTAGAAGACCTGCTGAATAGCTGTTTGTATTTGTGTGAATACTTGGCTCATAGCCTATAAACATGTCATCTTATAGACTGAAAAGGTACTTACATCAGTGTTTATTAATCCATTTGCAATATTTTTGCAAACATATGCAATGTGATCTCAAAAGCATTAGTATGTTGTAATACTGTACACATGCGATTCAGTAATTACAGTACATAACTGACAACTATTGAGGCTACATGAAACCATAGTATGAATACTGTATATGTGTAATCGAAAAGGTTTTCTGTGCTCTGCCAAATGGGATTAGAAGATAGAGTAGAAGTTAAAAAAAAAAAAACTGCATGTCAGCCATAAACCAGACAATCATGAAACCAACCACACTTTAGGCTTTTAACAAACAATTTTACCACTTGCTTTAGGATGCTTTTTATGATGAAATGTGTTATTGCATTGAATAAGAAATGATAAACGTTTTACTAACAAAAGCACACAATGTAAAACATTTATTCCTGCCCAAGTACTTATAAGTTTTTGACCATGTAGAGAAATTTGTAATGAATATTTTATTACTCTACATGGAGGCAAATCATCATAACATCAAATATAATATTCCAAAGCCCTAAAATAAGACTGAAGAATGGGGGGAGGGGGGTTGTTTTCATTAAAAACAATGCCCTATTATTCCCCATAATTTGAGGACTGTGATTGGTACCTTTAAATGAGCTTCCTGTCTTGGGCTCAAATTTATTTTGTTTTATGTCATAGTCAAGTAGATATTTGTAGGTAGGGTAGAACTAGAATAGTTGTACTATGCCCAGCCTCGTCCATCAGAAACGTGAAAGACATTTGTTACCCAAGAAGGGAGTGGTACAAATTTTGCATATTTTTTTAGTAAGTCTACCCATATTGATGTGATAATTTGAGCTCCCTTAATGTTCCTGTGCAGAACTCACAAATGGCAACTTTATTTTATTAGATAGCAAGTGTCGTGTGGTATCATGTAATTTCCCTTGCTACTCTTCTTAACCATTATAAAGCACAATTTATGTTTTACATATATAAATATATAAAATATATATATATATATATATATATATATATATATATATATATATATATATATATATATATATATATATATATATATATAAAATACATAATATATATATATATATGTAATATATATATATTTATATTATATATACACTAGTCACTTATACTGGCTTGACTGCTGCATTAAGTGATAATATATAATAATAATTGGGGTAGGAAATATTTTGTTTAATTTTTGTGTAAATACAATATGTACAGAACTTGTAAATATCAAGTGTGAGCCTCACAGACCATTGTTTACTGAATACTATATATAGCTATGTCATTTATACTTGAGTTTTAAATATCAGACCTAAAAGAGGCAGAGCTCGTTAAAAGGATGATTGATAATATAAAAATCCCGAACTCATATTTATGGCAGGGCTATGCATAGCTTTCATTGTTTTACAGTCTCATTGAGCTTTTGATAAATTAAAGCTCATACTGAGGGGGTCGTAATCTTTTAGGTTCTCAATGTAGTTGAAGTGAGGCAGGTGCTGGTGGCGTTTGCAGTAATAGTGTAAAGTATCTTTGTTTGGGCCCTCTCCCAGGAGAAGCATCTCTCTCATATTATATATTCATTCTATCACAAATATCAGTTGGCTGCTAGCCATTTTACAACCCTTCTCATTCCTCTTCATTTGGGGTCTCTGTTGAATGGTCACTTTAACATGTGCAATGCATTTGAGTTATTAAAATGTCCATTAAATATTGGTTTGGTGCTGAAATTGAGATAATAAGAGCAAGCAAAATATTTGGCATTTATTTGAATATCTCTAGAGTATATGAATGATTTTTATTTTGCTTTATACAACCAAGATAGAATTGGCAAATTTTATGTATTGGTGAAGCGTGGCAGCAAGCATTACTTTTAAGCAAATTTGGCTGAAAGTGACCACAACATTGTTACGGTCACTTTCAGCCAAACTTTCAATGTGAAACAAAATCTCACTTTCACACTTTCAACGTGAAGAAAAATCACATTGTTGATTTTGCTGTTCAGGTGATATGTCTTAAGCTTCTTTGCATCAGCACAATGCAAATCAGTTGTGTGATTAGGTTATGAAAATTTTTGGTCAATCAGGGTTTTAGGAGAATAAAAACACAGCAAGAATGCCTATATGATGTAGTAAGTGTAAAAATTTTTGTTCCTGCCTGGAATATCTTCACATGAGATATAGTCTTTTGCATGTTTGGTAAGGGAGATAAATATTCAGGTAGAAGTGGGGTGCAGTTTAGGAGAGTCAAACCACAGAGCTCTGGCACCATTGAATGATATCTTATATTAGGTAGAGACTAGGCCATGGTGATGGTAATGAGGCAAAGTTGTTGTTTTCATTGTTTATATTAGATCTTTCTTCAATGAAGATTGCTTCTAGAATGTGTAATCCCCTGCCATCAGTTGCAGAATCGAGTATCTCTGCATTCCTGAAACATTTTCCTAGTGAGTGCCACATTGTGATTGGTTCTCGTATTGGTTTGGATCTACTGCTCCAACACAGTTGGACACAGCTCCTTGTCGCCTTGTAGGTGACAAGTCTTGAAAGCTTAGTAGTGCTCATGCTAATAAAGGCTGACTGAAGGTTACATCTTTCATGTGGGCATTGTATTGGTGTACCACATTCTTGAAAGCTTAGTAGTGCTCATGCTAATAAAGGCTGACTGAAGGTTACATCTTTCATGTAGGCATTGTATTGGTGTACCACATTGTCTTACTGGAGAGGGTTACTGTTTCTGTTTAGGGTGTTCTTCATTATTAAGTTTTTCTTTTTTATCGTATAGTTGATTGTGAGTTCAAGTTTTTGGTTATACTTAGTTGGTTTTACTTCTCTGGATATGATGTCCTTCATAATGCTTTCATCTGTCTTGTATTAGGGGTGTTTATAATATAACTTGATGGGTTGGGGCATCTGCTAGTGTGGTTGGTTAAGAGTTGTACCATTTATGTAAATACTAATGTAGGTGTTCACTTTTGTTATTGTATCCATTGTTTACTAGGGCTTACTAGCCATTCAGACATATTGGTATGTGTCTGAATGGCTGAGGGCATTCAGCCACTGATGTTGGTTTCATGTAGACTTCAGTGAAAGCCAGAGATACCACCTTGACCACTGAAGTCTACATGGAACCAACAAACATTGTTTGAATGCCTTCAGCCAATCATCACAAGTGTGATGAACTTGTACATACATAAGAGCTCTTAACCTCTGCACAATCTGGGACATAGTGCAAAAAGAATTAGAGAGAAGTCTGCAAGCCATAATAAACAATGAATACACTAACAAAAAAGTGAGCACCTGCATTAGTTAGTATCTAGATACATGGTACAACTCTTAAACCAACCACTCCAGCAGATGCCCCAACCCATCAAGTTATAAATCCATCATGAACACACAAAACAAGACAGATGAAAACATTATGAAGGACATCATATCCAGAGGAGTAAAACTAGCTGAACAAAACAAAAACTTGAACTCATAATCAACTATAAGATCAAAAAGACAAACTTAATAATGAAGAACACCCCAAACAGAACAAGCAACCCTCCAGAATGCCAACATGGTATACCAGTACACTTGCCCTTATTAAGGATGTAACCTTCAGTCAGCTTGACCACTACTACGCTTTCAAGGAAGTTGCCTTGGTCACCTACAAGCAGGAGCCCCAAAAAACCATGTGAGAACCAATCACGATGTGGCACTTGCTAGGAAAATGCTTGAGGAACATAAGAGATAATTGGTTCTGCAACTGACGGCAGCAGAATACAAATTCTAGAAGTAATCCTCATGGAAGAAAAGACCTAATATAAACAATGAAAACAACGACTTTGCTTCATTGCCACCACCGAGGCCTACACCCCACTCGATAAAATACGACATGATTTACCAGCACCTGAACTCTGCGGCTTGACTCGCCTAACCTGCCCATATAGCAATTATTGTTTTATTCTCCTAAAACCCAGACTGACCATGAATTTTGATGAACTAATCACTGAACTCGACGCTGATGCTTATTGGACGCATCGAATGAACAGCAAAATTAACAACATTAGCATGCAGTCACTTTCAACCAAATAATATATACAGGTATATATAAAACATCTCCCACCTGCCCTTCCCCCCACAAACACATTCCCCACCTGCCCCTCCCCCACAAAAACATCCCTAATTCCCCCCTCCCACCCCCCACAAACACATTCCCCACCTGCCCCTCCCCCACAAAAACATCCCTAATTCCCCCCTCCCACCCCCACAAACACATTCCCCACCTGCCCCTCCCCCACAAAAACATCCCTAATGCCCCCCCTCCCACCCCTCACAAACACATCCCATCTCCCACCCCCACCTTCTCCACAAACACACATCCTCATCTGCCCCGATATGAGGATGCGTCATGAATTGCATATGGGCAAGGGTTGCTATGTGGTTGTTAGTATTTATGATATTCTGTAATCTCAAAATTTTAGTAAATTTAACTGTCAGTACTTCGCATCAAATGAGTTTAATGTAATTTTTAGATTATCTTTGCAAAATACAAGACGTTACAAGCCTTGTCAGAATTGTTTTGGCACGTGACACCAATTCAATTAAATTTTATAGTACAGTATCTAAATAGTTATATTCAGATGTTAATGGGCAACATAGTGCTTACTATTCCAGTCATTGGTGAAATAATGTGCACCTGCCACTGATAAGATGGCCTCTGCAGCTGCCCACCTGCCAATAATATGATGGTCACTGTCAGCCTCTGCAGCTTTAGTCCTGATGTCATTTAGTCTTTTCTTTTCCATTACTGTATGTACATGATGTATCTTAATGATATCAAGAATTATAACCATTAGTGTTTTCATGTGTGTGTTTCATTTCATCCTCTGCTTACTGTAACTTATCTGAGTGCAGTCTTTTACTTGGGCATAGTTTTCACACTGCTTAAACAATTATAAAAAAATGCCAAGTCTTCAAAACTATTTAGTGCTATATATACAGGCGAGATACCAGAAGCACTTAAATTGGCAGATTTAGCTCTACTAAACTAGGGAGGCAGCAAAGCATTAGTTAAAAACTATAGCAAAGTTATACTAATATCTCGCACAAAAGTTTGAAGGAGGGATTAGGAGTCACATTACTAGTTTCATGGAGAACAGTGACCTTCACAAGCCAGGTCAACATGGATTTGGAGTGGGAAGATCATGCCCTTTGCAATTACTCGACCTCTGTGAAAAATTCATGGAAGTATTAGAATAAAAAATGCTTGTGTGGTATGCACAGACTTTGCAAAGTGTGACGATGGACTGATAACTCATAAAATGAGATGTAGAAGTAACACGTAAAGTAGGGCGATGTCAAACAGGGTGACACGTAAAGTAGGGTGATGTCTTCCTGTCAAACAGAATACAAAGTTTAACAATTAAATCAAATAAGGTCTAAACACAGCAAAAACAAAAAAATATACAGTACCTCAGGGCACAGTCCTTGCACGACTGCTTTTTCTCACTCATACCAGATAGATAAAAATACAAACCCCAGCCTGTTACCTTGTACAGATGATACAAAAATTAGAATAACAATTATATCTAGAAGAGACAAAAGCGACAAGCCAGCATGAATAACCTCTTCGATTGGGTAATAGAAAATAACACAATGTTAACAGTGAACAAATCCACAAGGGCCGTGATGAGGGTTCGAACCTATACACAGGATGTTCCCAGCTGCACCTTAGTGAACTGTGCCACGACATGGTTAAAAGAATTTTAACCTGGCATGTTACTGCTCTCACTAGGATCCCGAAGCTTCTCCAAAGCCAATTGGGTTTTCACACAAGTCCCCCATGCACCCGGGCTCTGTCAACCAAATGTCAAGCCCGAGTGCATGGGGGGGGGGGACTTGTGTGAAAACCCGACTGGGCTTTGTAGAAGCTTCGGGATCTTAGTGAGGGCAGTAGAACTTCAGGGGGCAATTCTTTTTAACCATGTCGTGGCACAGCTGGGAACATCCCATGCATAGCTTCGAACCGTCATCATGGCTCTTGTGGATTTGTTCATTTGATATATCACGCTATTGTGATTTCTGTGTGTATGTTAAGTACTAAGTACTGTACTTAGGTATGGTAGAAATGGGGGAAGGTGATGGAGAGGGAGGGGAAGTTTGTGAAGGAGCAAGAGGGGGACGGAGGGAAGGTGGTGAAGGAGAGGGGGGGGGCAAAGAAGGTGAAGGAGCGAGGTGTTTGTGGTTATAATGGTAGTAGATGTAGATCTTTATAACAGAGGGTTACAGTGATGGCACTACGTGAATATAGGTATAGTGATGAAAATAATCGGTGGTGATGTAACCTCTATCACCGAGCAAGGTCGGGAATCCCGTTTAGCGTGTTTATGTATAAGCTTGATAAAACAATCACTATTCAAGTGACCAATTATCTGATAACTAGCTATCAGAGTGCATCACATGACTAGCCTCGCCACTGGTCAGCTGTTGTGCCGAGGAGGCAGTGTGGGTGTGTGTAGGCCGTGTTGCAAATGTTTGTTGGCATCGCACACAAGCCGCCATGTTAGTCCAGAATGCAGACGGGAAGACGAAGCAGGATGTGTTGAGGACCAGACAGACGATGATGGAGGAGATGGTAAGTGGGAATGGTTATGTGCTAATGGATACTGTCGGGTTGTGATGCAGGTTGTGTTTGGGCGCCTGGGTAGTGGTGATGGCACGAGCGTCATTGAGAAACTAGAGAGGATAGGCTAGAACCTGGGCCCTGTACTCAATTTGAGGAACTCAAATTGAGGAGCCGGTGGCTGAGCGGACAGAACACTGGACGCGTGATCCTGTGGTCCCGGGTTCGATCCCGGGCGCCGGTGAGAAACAATGGGCAGAGTTTCTTTCACCCTGATGCCCCTGTTACTTAGCAGTAAATAGGTACCTGGGAGTTAATCGGCTGTCACGGGCTGCTTCCTGGGGGGTGGAGGCCTGGTCGAGGACCGGGCCGCGGGGACACTAACCCCCGAAATCATCTCAAGATAACTCTACTTCCCTTACTCCATCTCCCTCACAGAATAGAAGACAAGGAGAGGCAGTCAGGAGGATGGGGCAGCGGCAGGTGGCTCTGCAGGTGGCGTCAATTAGAGAGCGCCTAGGATGGTTCCTTCCCTTCTACGCCTCCTCCGCTGCCTTCCTCTATGCTGGGTACCGCGTTACACGCTCTGTAGTCGTTCTCTACCCGCTCGTTCCCATGACCTTCGCATTCTGCTATCAGCTCGATCTGGCTTATGGCAACAAAACCGCGAGGATTAAAGGTAGATTGATTTAGAAAACACATTTCTTTCCCCCTTAGGTTGAGAGACATCAGAAATTTAATTAAAAGTTCATCACTTTCATTAAAATAACAAGGTTTCCCTTCCCAGTATCCGTGTAGAGTTAAACTTGCTTTGTTTGTTTTAATGTAGAAGGTTTCCGGGCGATTAAGATCGCTTAATATGTTAACATATTAACATGTGTGTTGGCAATGAAGCTAATGGTGCGGGTGCATCTTAATGACTCTTAAAATGTATGTTAAGATTTTTTACTCGTGAGCTTGTCATTTACTTATCCCTTATGCTACAGGTATCGCCGAGGAGATCATGGTGAAGGAAGCCCAGCTGATCCATGTGCCAGCCTGGCATTATTACAACAGACCTGTCCAGGATGAAGGCACTTCTAGCTCGGTATACAAATCTTGACGGAACAGAGAATCTTGACGTAAAATAGGATGAAAATCAGCCTCGAAACTGAATTCTTCAAAAGTATCAGAAGTGTATGAGATTGTACAACGTGACACTGATACAGAAACATTGGGCTGCAATACTCAATTCGTAAGAAAACGTTTAATCACCTTTTGTGGTGGTTTGTATATCATTGTCACTATTCTGGACATTACTAATATAACAGTGCCAGCAATAGATTCTCTAAATCAATCACAGTTCAAAATTATTATTAACTCTTAATCATCCTTCTTGATTAAAAGCGCCTCTTATTCCCCCGACTAATTCCTCTTATACACTCTTATATTTTATCTTGTACTTCATTTCTTATGACTTCTGACAATGTAAACTATCAGCAAAACTATTTTCATAACTTAAAGGCACTTTGTAAATGTGAACAAATCCAAAAGCTCAGAGACAAAGTTGTCTATTGCACTGGCAATAGTTCTATTGCCAGTGCAGGCTACTGAACATATGACCTGTATGACTAACCATCCTGCGAGATGGGGACTTTTAGTATTACTGCTACCTTATTCACTCTTGTGTTCATGATATCCTCATAATGGACCCCGAGTCTGCCAGTGCAGACTGCCTATCACATGCCTCTGTATGACTAACCATCCTGTGTGATGGAGATTTTTAGCATCATGTAGTTAGTTTTTTATACACTCTGTACTCACCTTCATATAGTCTAGGGTAGCTGCATAAATGCAGATGTATCTAAATGTGTTAATAAAAAAATTAATAATCCCAAGAGTTGTTGATAACACGAATGACCAAAATGACCCTGCAGTATCAGAGGCCAAAAACTCTGTTAAAACTCATTTTGAAATTCCTCGCCGCGGCCTCCAATTGCTTTGCTTTCCATATTTCGATGAGAGTCAACGTTTTACAAATCAATCTTGCCCTCGTTAAAAGCCCTATGCATTATATGTTTCTCACATTCGAGTCTGGACTTCTGTGGTGGTTTGCATATCACTGCCACTATTATTCTGTGGACATAAATAATGTAACAGTGCCAGCTATAGATTCTCTGAACCAATCACAGTTCAGAATTACTATTAACTCTAATCTTCCTTTCTGAGTAAAAAGCGCCTCTTATTCTCCCGACTAATTTCTCTTATATTTCATTTGTTATGACTCCTAACAGAATGTAAACTATCAGCAAAACTATTTTCATAATTTAAGGAACTATGTAAATGTGAACATCTCTTCAGAGCTCAGACACAACTGTTACAAATGTTTAAGAAATGTATATATAGTCCTCGTAACCCCTCCCAGTGAAGAAGCAAACTAAAAACCACGTAGCCTCGATGTAAACTCTAGAAAATGAGGTAAACGTAGCAAACATCTGGCCGTGCAGAACGTGTAGAAGATGAAGTTGGCCTAAACAAAATGTCTTTGTTCTTGTTTAATTATCAAAGGTGGAGAGCGTTAAAAAATGTCTAGCCCTTGCCTTCTATGGTAGGTCGAGTTAGAAAAGGTTTAATCTTTGTTGTCTTTCTCAGAAATTAAATTAGGCCATTTAATTCTATCGAGGGACAAATATCCCATAGCGACATTAGGAAAAGAAAACGATCAATCTGAAAATCAGGCATTCTACTAAGTGGTGCACAACTGTAAGTTTTTTTTTTTTTTATTTTGATAAAAGAAATATACAAAGTATAGCACAATATATACATGACATGAACCTAAGAACAGAACATAACAACAAAAACATAATCAGAAACAGGCATAGAAGAGAACATTGCATAATAAGACCCCAGAAACTCCAGGGACACAAGTCCGAATACACATAAACATAGAAACGGACACACAACAAACGGACGCATACGGACATGGAAAGACACAACTAACATATAAAGAATAAACCAGACACACATATAAATACACAATGCACACAAGTACAGAAATAACACAAAGCATAAGCACATCGCACACAAATCATATAAGGAACATAAAAACAAACCATGGCCAAGGCCCAGGCACTACTATATGACAACCCCAAGAAAGAATCCGGGGCGAACAATGAAACACAGAGATACATGTTCCCTAAACAAACACACTTCCAGGAAGAACAGCAATCAAACCAACAAAATGAGTAACAAACAGCCGCATGCAACTCACTCAAGGTACAAGCAACGGCCCACGAGAGAGTCTGGCCCTAGCTTCGGTGCGGGGCAGACGTGTTGAATCGGCGCTCCAGCAGTTTGGTGTTGTTTGCCCGTTTCGGCCGGTTGGGGGCGGGTGTGTCTGCTCGCCTGTGCTGACGTGGCGTTACGATGGGGGTCCCTCTACCCCCTGTCGTCCGGGCTCAGTCTGTGGGACTAGAGTTCTCTGTGCGGGCTGGTTACCCGGAGATTGCCCTGGCTTGTGAACTGCTCTCTGTCCCTGTGTTTGCGATTTATGGGGTAGAGTTGGTAACGGCCCGTAGGGCCATTGTGAAGTTTGCAGAGGAGGCGGCGTATCGCGATTTTCTCCGGCGATACGAGGGGCGGACACTGCCCCTGCCGGATGGTGCGGGCACTGTCACCCTCTCGGATAGAAGTGGTGCACTTACTTACATCAGTGTGCATGGGGCTCCCTTGGAGTTTCCAGAGGCTCTGCTACGGCGGTATTTCGGGCGGTTTGGCGCAGTTGTTAGTGTGAGAGTGAACGTGGTGTCTTCTAGTCCTCTTAAGGGTGTGAGGACTAACATTCGCACCCTGGGCATGAGACTCCGGGCGGATATTCCGTCCTCTGTGCGCCTTATGGGGTTCAACGTTCGGGTGTTTTACGCCCGTCAGCCGCGGACGTGTTATCGTTGTGGTCTTTTGGGCCATCAGGCTGCTGACTGTTCTGCGCCTCCTGTTGCACCAGTGAACCTCTTCAGTGAGGATTTTCCGCCCCTTCCTGTGGGGGATGATTCGGTGGGTATGGACGTCTCTTCGGCTGAGGAGGTGCCCTCTGTAGCAGCTGTTGCTCCGCCTGTTGCGCCCCCTGTTGTTGCCGCATCTCCTCCGGAGGTTGTGTCCTCGCCTAGTGCTCCAGCTGGTGTCCCTGAGCCTCTTCCGCCTGCCGTTTGCTCGGTCCCCTCGTCTTCCAGTTCTTCCTCTGCTGTGTCTGTCCCGGTCCCTGCACCCTCGCCGTCTGTCCCGGCTGTGCTGGGAGCTGAGGTGGATCCGGAATTCCCTCCTGTGCCTGGCCTGGTGCCCCGTGTGGTTGAGGAGGCTGCCGTGCTGCGGCGTGCGTCGGTTCGCTCGGTTGGTGCTGCGCGGGTCGCTGAGTCTGCCTCCGGGTCTGATGATGTGCGGCCCGAGCCTAAGCGTTCCCGGCGTTCTTCTGTGTGGGCTGATGTTGGCGAATTCGACGAGTGTCGTCCTTCCGTTGACGGTGGCGTGGCTCCGGATGTGGTGCACACTACGGTGGTGGCGGAGGTCCACTTGCCTGAGGATGCCGGTGCCGGCGTTTCGGCCTCAACCTCTGGTCCGGTGTCCGAGGGTCCTGCGTCGGATGGCTCCGGTTCTTCGTGGGCGGTGGTTCCCCCTGCTGTAGTTGGTGGTGAGCGGGGTGGCCTGGTGGTGATGTTGCGAAAGGATGCTCGCTCTGGATGTTCTGTGGCCCCTTCCTCGTTACCCGTTTCCTCGGCAGCGGTCTTGCCGCCTCTTCCGTTTCCTGCAGTCCCTTCCGTGTCTCCTGCGGTATCCGTGGAAGTGCTGTCGTCTCAGCGTCCGACACCTGCTCCGATGGCGAAGGCGTGGCAGGCTCGGCGTCCCTCGTCCGCTTCTCCGGTGTCATCTGCTTCCTCGCAGGGCGTGGTTGGCGCTCCCCAGCCTCGTTATGCGACTTGCGTCAGTGACCTTAGGCATTGGCCGATGCCGCCAGATATAGATGTTCCCGAGTTTATGATACCCGCCCGAGTGCGGGGGATCAAAAACCCTACCGACCTTGATGATCTCGTCTGGGAAGCTTACAAGTCGAAATATCCTCGTGAGCGGTTCCCGGAGAAGTACATTTCTCACGAGGTTCCTCGCAAGTGATTTCTATGTATTTTGTGTTGCCTGGTTGTGGGGTGTGTATGTGAGTGGGTGGGGTGGGTATTGTTTCCCGGTTCCTGCGCGCTCCGGTTTGTTTTGTGGGTTTTCTTGTATGGCTCGTGGGGGGGTGTGCGGTTCATATGCGTTTGTGTGTTCGGTTATGGATGTCGTGTGCACTTGTTTGTCATATTGTGTGCCCTTCAGGCTGTTGGCGTGTGCTCTTTATGTTTTGCCTTCCGTTTGTTATGGCGGATCTGTTTTCTTTATTGTTATTGTCCTTATTCTTGTATGTTTCTCGCCTCTCTGTATGTATTTGAGGTGTTAGCAGGCTTGTTTTGTGTGCGTTTTGTCCTGGGGTTTTCCCTTATGTTTGTATTACACTGTGTTACTAATTGTGTATTGTTTGTATATGCATTTTTTTGTGGTCAGCCCTTCTGGCTGGTCTTCTATTGATTTGTTCCTTTGTCCTTGTACATATGTGTGCTTTGTACTTTTGTTCTATGTTATATTTGTTCTGTTTTTCTTGTACGTTATACGCATGCTTGCATGTAAAAATAAAAATAAAAAAAAAAAAAAAAAAAAAAAAAAAAGCAACGGCCCACGCAGGAGCCAACATAGAAGCAAACCCACACTCACACTCAACCCCACACACCAAACCGAACACACAACCACAGGAGCAACCACACACACACCCAGCACAACTCCCCCGAGGAGGCCCACCGGAGGGCCGGGGATCTAGGATGAAAACAGAACTAAGTGGTGCACAACTGTAAGTGGAACATTGCAGTTCAGAAAAAACGAGCAGGGCATTGTTCCATTAAGTGCACATAATTTAAGTGTGTGTGATCGAAATGCAGTCTAGCCAGAGCCGTTTCCCTATTACGGCAGTAGAAGGAAGGCCAAGGGGAAAGGTAATTTTTAAGAGCGCAGTTTGTTGCCTAAAATGTTTGCTGAACGACGCTGACAATGGTCGCGGATTGTGGAATGGGCTCATTCAGAGTATGAGTATCAGAGTAAGGAATGGTAAGGAACACTGGGGGCCACATTCTGGGGAATGTTTCAAGTACAAATGGTGTCTTCTATAATAGTAATTTTAATGGTAATTATTGTATTATCTGCAAAGGATGACAAAACTGACATGTTATTATCTATATCTGATATGAGAATGATAAAAAGAATCGGTGCAAGGACTGTGCTCTGAGGTACAGAACTTTTCAATGTGCTTGAACTTAATTTGATTTGATTAGCCATTGCTTAACAAAAACCTGTTATTCCATTCATCTCATTTTATGGGCTATCACTCCGTGGTCACACTTATGAAATGCCTCTGTAAAGTCCGTGTACATAAACACCTGCATTTTGTTTTTCTTCTAATGCTTCCGTGATTTTGTCATGGAGTGTAACTGCGAAAGGCAGGTTCGTCCCGCTCTAAATCTGTTGACCTGAGTTGTGAAACTCATTGTTACCCATACAACTGGAGATTTGACTCCTAATAATTTCTTCGAAAACTTCATGTGTGATATATTAGTGCGACCGGTCTATAGTTTTTGCCAATGATTTGCTACCGTCCTTGGGGCTATGTATGCCGATTTAAGTGCTTCCGGTATCTCACATTTATCCAAGCTTTTTCCCATACTACACTGAGCGGTTGTGCTACTGGTACTTTGTAATTCTTTATAAGTATGGAATTGCAGGCGTCAGAACCTGGGTTGGCGGCGGGGATAGGGGGGGGGG